CATTCTGGTGTAAGCTCGAGGGGCTCCATCCCCAGCTCTGGGCAGCTCTCCCACCTGGAAGGACCTTGCATGTGTTTTTTTTTAAATACTCTTTTTGTTTTGTTGTTTTATGTGTGGCACTTAGAAATGATTCCCAACATTAGAATCTTTTATGGCCCAATAAACTTGAGAGAATTGGACCAAATTGGCTGGTCATATTTAGAAGCTTTATAAGGAAACGTATTAAGGTGTAATTGCTGCGAAGGAACAGGCATAGGTGAGGGATGCAAAAAAAAAAAAAAAAACCTTCACACTCTGGACAGACACTGTAGTTTTTGTCTGCTGCTGAGAGATTCCAGTCACCATGAGGAAACATGGAGTGTGCTCTAAGATTTTATATAATAGCTTTATTTTATTTCACATTTCCGAAATAAAAAATAAAAAAAAATTTACAGTGTGGTAACACATCGCCTAAAATTGAAAACATCTGTTTGGCATTTAGCTTTGCCAGTATATGGGATCCTCAGATAACAATAGTTGAAAGTTGGAAAGGAACATCCCCATGCGTATCCCCCTCCCAACCCTCCAACCCAGCCTCCCTATCAAAAAAAAAAGCCAAAAAAGGTGGGGAGAGAAATTATGAAAGAGAGCCCGAATCTGGAGATGGAAGAAGTTGATAGACGAATATGAGTACATCTCCTACCTCACGATCACACGCTCATAAATAAAAAGGTTATTCAGCAAACTCAATTCATTCATTGGGATTTACTGAATTTTTCAGATGGTAAAACAGTGGAGAAAAAGCAGATCGGATCGTCCTACTTTGTCATGGAGCCCAATAAAGAATCCAGATCTGTGTCTCCCTACAGAAGAAAGTTCATGCCACTGCATGTTTTTCCTCTTGCTGGGGGTTTTTCAGCAGTGTAGCATGGCACGAACGCACTGAGGAGCCTTTCACCGGCTTCACCTGATACCGCTGGGACTTGAAGCGGGAGCTGCACTACAGGCCGGGATCGACGTGCAGGTCAGACGAGGAGCTAGTCTTTCGACAGAGTTCGGAGGCTGGGTCAGACTAATGTGATTTATCAATATAGTGCATAAGTGAATCATTGTCCTTAATGGCCACGATAATCCCCAAGACAGACCGTGAACATGATTAGTTGAAGAAGTTGGGGTGGGTGAAGGGAGAGGATGTGTGTTGTGGACCCTTGATCATCGGTAACATGCACCTGCAGGGTGTCCATGTATCTGCCAGTACTCTTCCTCTCTCGCTCACTCTCTCTCTCAGACACACACAAACACACACACACAAAGATTTACACTTCTCGAAGCTTAGCTGACGGGGCCTGGGAGAAAAAAGACAGAGCTCTGTTCCTTGACGCTGGAGCTCGAGCTCAGGTCAAGACTCAGCCCGCTGTAATCCCTCTCAGGTGATGCTGTTCACATTCAGCCGCTTCCAGCTGATCTCCTTAAATATGCCTTCCTCATCCCCTAAAAAGCCCCCTCCTCTCTCCCCTCAGCACAACCTCCAAGGATGGTGAGTGAGAAGGACGGATCTCTGCTGAGATCAGATCCGATGGCTTTTCAGCATTTTCCAGAGACCAATCCCGTGCTTCACACGAATAAAACAAACGCACTTTCAAGTGTTAGCTATGGAATAAGAAAGAGAAAAAAAACAGACGAGTGAGGCTGCAGCGCTAACATCACCTGGAGTAGAGTGGCATCATGTGAGAAGGTCTTGTTAACAGACGTGCCATCTGCAGGGCTTTTTCCCTCCACACACACTTTTTTTCCAGACTAGCGAGGGCTGGTTTAAAAGCAGCTTCTTGGAGCGTTCCCTGTCATTCCCCTTAAACACTTAATCAACAGATTATATTGCGCTGAAGTGCTGTGTTCCAACATTAACACTTACACCCACAAACCTGGGACTTTGTGCAAGCTTTCAGCACACACAGGTCCACAGGCTGATGTGTAGGGCTCAGAAAGAGAGCGCACTATGTGCAAGTAGCTTAGCTGCATCTAAAAAGAAACTCCACCAAACTTTTGCTGTATTATCAAAGTAAACCATAGAATCAGTTAAGAAGAGTCCACTACCTGAGAGTATCACGTTTTCACTCATTTTCAGTGACATCTTGTGATTTTTAGCATTAAAACCATATCCCCCCCCCACACACACACACACACACAAACACATCCATGCTGCAAGTGTCATGCATCTCTAGCCTCGCCCCCTCCAACTCTGCATTGGTTTAATCTAATCACTTTGGTCCTTCAACAGAAAACACACAAAAAACAAGCATCTGAGAACACAGTTAACACAGTTGAGTAACAGATTAGACAGCTGAATCTGATCTGAAACACGCTATGACCTGCAGGGAATTCAAATTTGGGATTTCTGGCTTGATGCACAAAGGGTTAACAGAATCACATGGCAACTTTTCACCACTCTCGACTGCCATTACCTATTCATTACCAGTTAAAACGGCTTAGGGCCCCACTGTGTATCCCTGTTCCTTCAGGCAGCGCTCCTACTCGAGCCTGATTTTATGGAGTCAGCAGGTGGCATCATTAGCCAGAGAATAAAAATGAAAAGTAATACCCTTGTGTCTAGCTATGATATCATAGCAGGGCTCATTGGCATCATTTTCCTATTTCTAGTGGGCACAATAGGGGGTAAGGAGGTGTAAATTTAATATATTCCGTCATCTGTTTTACTTCTTTTTTTTTTTCTTTTTTTTTAAGTGTATATGCACAATTGCCACAGTCAAAACAAGAGGCTGGTTCATGCCATGCAGTGTGTGAGCAACACCAGACCAGCCCAGAAAACCACACAAAGATCCCAATCTTGACCGCGCGCCGGGGGTCACATGCAACGGCAGCGTTACTCCTTGACAAACCCTCCCGCCCCCATTCCCCTCATTATGATGGCATCTCCATTCCTTACACCTCGCTCAGTTATGCAGCTACGTGCGCCATAGCAAAAAAATTCTCTTTTCATTTGTTTATACTCATCAGTGTTTTGTAAATTACGCAGGATGTCTTTCATTCCACGTTACAGCAGTTCCGCCTGGGGGAGCCGAGCACGGCCAAACTGAGTTTTAAACGTGCCTGGGTCTCAACACTCCTGAAAGCTTTGGATAGCTTCCCCGTGCATGCCAGACAGGCTGTATATAAAACTGTCACAGGAACCTTGAGGGCTAGAAAAATATTCAAGCATTTCTAGCCCTATTGGACAATGATCTCTTACACATGCTTCTTTCAATATAACCGTGATAAATAAAGGAAGGAAACAAATACTGAAGACTTGGCTGACTGCCCACTGCTTGCTAGGATGGCAGTTTTGGCCCAAAGTGCTGTATGTCCACCCCCCTCAATACAGACGCACACACAAACACACACGTATACTTTAAACATTACAATAAAGGCCAAACCTGTGCATATTTGCACGGGGTTAGCATGACAAGTGTAACATCCGCTCTGAGAGTGAGCGGTAACAGTGTGTAGCTTATCGTCCTCAGCCTGAAGCTGTTCTTGAGGTCAAATGTGTAAGTTAACCTTTTGATCTCGTCCCCGCTGGTTAGGCCACCCCCCAGACCTCTTCCTTCTTTCTCTCTCCGAACTCTCCCTCACACACAAACAGACAGCAGCACAGATAAAGAGGCACCTAAAGACAAATGTGCACCGCTGGATTTGCTGCTTGACCATCCAACCCTGCAGATTAAAGGCGCTCTTAAGGGCGAAACACTGCTCTTACCACGTAAATGGCACTCCGTATCTTGTGTGCTATCTAAAAGTTGCACGGTGCAATGAGAGAGAGAGATGCAGAGAGAAAGAGAGGGGCTGAAAAACGTGTGTGTGCCAGTACCCCGCAGTGATTGCCTGATTATTTGCAGATGGGCAGTGGAGGGCTTGCAGAGTGTGGAGGTTCCCCCTGGCACGCAGCGCATATGATTAAATATGTGATTGCCTTACAATTTACCACCACCACCACCCCCCTTTGACTTTAAATGAGTTTTTCAAGTGTCCTACCTTTAGACGGGGTTGTTAGCGCCATGCGCAAACTGGACCACATTTCCTCTCACGGTCACCCTAAAAAGGATCTCGGCAATGTGTTATGTCACAGGTCTGAGGAGGGCTCCGCAGGGGCCACTTTCCTAATCCGGCTGGCTCCTCATTCATACAGAGTAGAGAATGGTATTTACAAAGGTGCTGATCCCCCCCTCCTGCCCCCGACCCCTCCTCACAGCTCCTGCGCCTCTGCTGGGTGATTGTTATGCGCGTTTCCTACCAACTGTTCAAAGTGGTTATGAGATCAATTAAAACCAGCTTAAGAGGTGGTAGGTGGGAGGGAGGGTGGAGTTGAGATGTGGCATCCATAAGTGTGAGGACGGGGATTCGTATCTGTCCACTGAATCAGTCACCTCCTGCTCGCTACAGACCCAAAGCGCTATTTATTTATGTAGCGCTTTACGTGCCACCAACACACTGCACCTTTTCTGGTACCAGAACATCCACAGATAGCCTGAATTAACGCTAATCCAGTTGGCTCTTTGACATTTTGGATGCGCGTGGCCAATTTTGCGCACATTTTACGCACCAGTTACCGGCTCTGAAATCATTAAATAATGTGGAAAATCTTATTTTAGAGAGGTCAGTAGGTTACATGAGATGCTGTAAGAATGAGCTGTAGCTCAAACAACTATTCGTTTTTTCTCCTTTTTGCATGGATTTCTGGAATTTTCTGGGTTGGATCGACGGCACCAAGTTACGTGCGTTGAAAACAAAATTCAGATTTAATTTCATTTTCTAAAGGAAAAACAACAACAACAAAACCCAACAACTTTCCGCCCGCGTTTAGCGCGCACAAAACAGGGGCTACAAGTAGGAGCGAAGAGGACTTTTTACAGAGTGTGTGAACAACCTTGTTTAGGATAGTTACCTCCCCGGACACACACAAACTCTTTGCGAACCCTTAAAAGTGATGCTGCTGTAATACTGGAAGGTTTTAACCTTCTAGTTACCTCTTTTGTTTCTCCTCCAGCGGTGCGACGGCGCCTGACAGTTGCTGTACTCCATACAGTTCAATATGATCAGGGCAAATGAGAAGAGTCGAAACTGCATCTGGACGGCGGTGTGTAGCTCGGACTCCAGTTAAAATCTCGAAATCTGTGAAACGTCCTCCTCCACGTTTCTTTAGCTGGTCATCGGATGTGTCAAACATAAGACGAGATGTGACATCGTATCAAGTCGCCGACTGGGATCATTTTATGGAGCGCGCTGATCCTCACTGAGTAAAAGTGTCCGTGCGCTGAGGGGAGAATGACAAAGGAGGTTACTGTGATAACAGTGTAACGAAATCAACACCTTCCCTAAACACTGATGCGTGGGGATGATAGAGGAGTGCACTGAAGCCCCTCCAAAAAACAAAAAAAAAAAAACAGAGAAGCTTCTGTGTGTTAATGTGTTGGAACAATCGCAAATGTAAAGCTCAAAGGGCACCCCTCTTTAAAAAAATAAAAATAAAGGCAACTGTGCGTAGTGGTCGCCAAAAAATAAAAAATAATAATAAATAATAATAACGCTCCGTGAGTAACGTGATGTTGTGTACCTTTCACAAGATTAAGTACAATTCCGCTCCGGTTCCACTTTCAGCTTCCCACCTCTGAGTGCAAGTGCGAATGGGGAACGTGCAGCATCCCTCTGTGTGTGTGTGAGTGAGAGAGAGAGAGAGAAACTTGTGTCTCCAGAAGAGAACAGAGGTCCGAGGAGGAGGAAAAAGGTGGTAGCGGTAAAGAAGGGGAGGTGGTGGAGGAGAAAGAGGAGGAGGGGGTCCTTTCCTCCTCTCTGTAAAGAAAGGGGGGAAAAAATTGGGGAGCTTAGATTCCGTTTACCTGCGTTTCCTCTCTCAGGCTCGTCCACTTGGCTTCCAGCAGAAACACATGTGTTGCTTGTTTGAGAGCGTAAAACGAGAGCCGGTGAAGTGAGTCTGCGTTTTGCGCGCTGCTCAGACTGAGCGGTGGGGACTTGGAACTCCCGACCGCTCCTGATGCTCGCTGCTGCCTTTTGCCAGATATAAGCGCCGTGTCGCTGTCACGTGTGGAGACTCTTCGCGTTGTGTGTTGCTCCTTATTTCAGATGTTCGAGATGACATTTCTTGTATTCCCCCCACCCTCCCTCCTCTCCCCTCCTTCCCCTCCTTCCCCTGGCCCCCTAGCGCAAACTCGGCCACACTGGCCGATCCGAGGCTGCCTCTGGGTCCTAGTGAGCATTAAGAAAAAAGCTGGATCGTCATTCAAGAAGAGAAGAAAAAAGTTGATGTATTCGTTTCTGGATAATGGGATTGCAGTCCGTATACATTGGACTTTTTTCTGCCAAACGACAAGATTATTTAGGACCCAAATTATCATCCAAACACGCCCCTGTGCCCTTCGGCAGAAGTTTCAATTCAAAGTTTTTGACTCCTCTCAACTGAGGATGTAATTGCTGCACAGCCAGTCTATCTCGGTTGAGCTTTATTCCACTGACGATGGCTCTATTTAATAATTAGAGGTTCACCCCACGAAAAAGAAAAATTATCTGCATAATTTATGGTAATAGCATGGGTAAAGTCAACCATATGGTCACGCCTATTTTACTCCAACCCCCACCCCCTCTCTGAAATTAATGCTAATCGTCGGAGAGGCTGTAATTGTGGAACTTGGATCAATCATTCAATCGTTTCTGGGAGTTTTTCCGCTTTTCCCCTCATGTCGGGCCTTCCAGGGTGACCCACGTGACCCCAAAGAAAGGACATATCCAAGTCGGTGAGCCTTCTTCTTCAGTCAGGAGCGTCTCACCTCGTGGGGAAAAGCTGGAGCTCGTCCACTACCCACTACCCCCCTCCTGACATTCAGACTGCCGGCTGACCTGCAGATGAGTGATTACAAAGGGCAATGAACGTATTAAAGTTGGTGACGGAGGGCTTCAGGTAAAACAGCCACACACATAAACGTGGCCGTGTGCAGAATACCATTTCTCCTGATGTTTTCTGACCCAGTGGAATCCAAGTTGTAAATGCTCTACCCCCTTCAGCCACTAGGTGTGGCACTTAATCTTTTATTTATTTCAGGAAATTATTTTCATGTGAGAGCAGCTCCGTTGTCCACGTCGGTGATCCTACAAGTGGGAGGTCAAGAAAAAGGAAAAAACAAAACAGGGCAGATATATTATATTTCTTACACTTCAACCAGCAGAGGTGCCAGGTAGTTTAAAAAAACAAAACAAAAAACACATTACTACTCAAAAACCCGGTGGTACAAGGCATGATTTGGTCACTAGAACTGAAAAAATGTGAGTGAGGGAAACCCTATGTTTAAAAAAAAAAAAATCCTGAAACATATGGTGACCTTTGTCCTCACTTTGTTTATTTATTTATCCAGACATTGTGGTCAGGAGGCCTGTTAGCCACAGGCAGAGCTGCTGGTTTGGATTTGTCTCTAAAACAACATCTAAGAGTGCACGGTTAAGGTGAATGTGATAATTTAGGCCTCCGGCACTTTTATTTTCATGATGTGTCATGGAGAAGGGGGTCGGTAAACCAATCACTTTATTCTCTCCATCCCTCCCCTCCCGCTCCTTGCAGTGCACAGAAGTGGGGATGAGGGGGGGTGACGTCAGCATTTGGATGGTCTGGCTCAGAGCCCTCAGTGCCATAACAGCAATGAGGGGAGCTGCTGTTCACTCTGCTAATCAGAGATCCAGGCTAGATGGTCTCCATCGTGGTTTTTTTGTCACAGTTTATTTAGTTAGAAAAGGAAAAGAAAAAGCCACTCCACAGTGGTCATCTACAAATCGGAATATCCAGAATGTCAAGGGCAGGATGAGAGTGAGGCAAACTGAGAAAGTTCAATCTGTTTTTAGCAACTTTCCATGTTTGTGGCTCCAAATGGAAAGAGGGAAACTTCGATATCCCAAAATAATCCAACATGACATTCACAAACAGAGCTGAAACATTACAGTCCACTTGTGCAAATACAGTTTTAGAATCACCATAAATCTAGAAAACAAAACCGTCTCCCCTCAGGGTTCACTTTAGGAGCTCTTCCATTAGATTTAACTGAAAACGTGAAATAATGTGAACAACTACAGTTCACCTGCTGGTGAAGATCGCATGAAGTTTTGGAACAGCTAATAAACCTGACCTCTAAGGGAGACTGCGTTGTATAACATGATCCTATGTATGACAATGTGCCCACGTCCGATCAGACTTGTTTTGCATGTGTTTTATCTAGGGACGGATCAGTTTGTCATTAATCTTTTGTTTCGAATTCCAGTTCCTTTTTTTAAATGAATAAACCCAAGCTCATTCAAAAACAATAATGGAGGGCTGAAATTCTTCAAAAGTGGGGGGTTTTCTGCAATGAAGACATTACATTTCCCTTTAATAAAATGGAAACACACCAAAAATCCTTTTTTGAAAATCCCCCTGGCATCAGCTGTTGATTATCAACAGTCCTGTTAAAAATTAAGTGCATCCCTACTGTTTCCATAGGAAATGTGAGGGTTAGTAGCAGCCAGGTGCAACTAATCAGCTGCACCTAATTAACTGATCATCAGTTATAAAAGACGTTGTTCTGGCAGTTTGCCGGTCTGGTCCATTCCGTTGTGTTAATACAATGCCACAGTAACTTCACCCAAAGGTGAGACTGTGCAGTGCTCAGAGAAACATGTTAAATCTTACAATTCATGACACTACAATGGGAAAAAGACTGAACAAGTATGGCTTGTTTGCAAGGGTTGCAGGGAAAACCTCTTCTTTATAAAAAGAACATGGCAGCATGACTTAGATTTTTAGATTTGCATGTGTTTGGAAAAAACTAAAAAAAAAACTAAACCACCCCCCCGGCATATTAGCACATATACCTCATACCAACTGTCAAGCACAGTGGTGGAGGGGTGATGATTTGGGCTTGTTTTGCAGCCACAGGACCTGGACAGCTTGCAGTCATTGAATCAATGATACTAAATCGTGTCGTGAAGTAGACAATGATCCCGAGCACAGGAGAAAGTCTACAACAGAACGACTGCAAGAGGGAAAAAAAAAAAAAATTAAGGTGTTGCAATGGTCCAGTCAAAGTCCAGATGTCAACCTCAACAAAATCCTGTGGGGTGAGCCTGTGGCTCTGTATAAACAAATACCCACCGACCTCAATGAACTAAAGCAACACTGGAAAGAAGAGTGGGCCAAAATTCCTCCACCATGATATGAGAGAGCGATAAAGTCAGACAAAAATAAGAAGTTCAAGTTATTCCTGCTAAAGGTGGTTCATGAGATCATGAGATTTTGTTTGGCTGCATGCACACATATATTAATACACACACACCCACCTATCTATATACACATACACGCGATCGTGGCTCAAGAGTTGGGAGTTCGCCTTGTAATCGGAAGGTTGCCGGTTCGAGCCCCAGCAACCTTCCGGGGCTCGGACAGTCTCGGTCGTTGTGTCCTTGGGCAAGACACTTCACCTACCGCCTACTGGTGTTGGCCAGAAGGGCCGATG